ACTGCAACCCCAGCAAATGTTTACCAGTGAATTCAATTGTAATCTGTGGCTAAGCTATCTACTAACACTCCACAAATATCAAAGCCCATCTCTAACTGACGCATATTATTGGCAAGGATACAATTGTTCCTGAAATGGGTAGAGATTCGTGGTGAGCTGACATATGCATTGCCACAGGCTGTGGGAACAGTCCTGTGGAAAGCACCACATGTTCCCAATGGAATGCTAGAGTGTTCAATTGTAGGAACTCCTTGTAACAGTGAGAACATTTCCAACACTCCAACCTTTGAGACGCTCCCTAAGCACCACAGGCTACCACACAGGTAAACAAAGTGTGGCATCAGATTGATGTCTACTGTAGATACGAGTACATGTACAGTATATCCCTGGAGTGTGCCAATAAGAACAGATATTGTCCCGAAAAAAGCAAGTCCATCTGTTTAACCTGATAAGAAAGACTCTCACCTGTCGTCATAACAATTGACATAATTGTGACCGATCCTCCGTGAGGGTGTGAAGGACAACAAGCCCTGACTCTCCAGCTGCTCCAGGATCGGCTGGTCCTTCATAGGTCTGTCCGGGGCATTGGGTTTCTGCATCCGTCTCCCCTGGGGGACGAAGACTGTGATGTCTTGGTGGCCTCGCCTCTGGAAGTAGGCCACGCAGAGGGCAATCCCGCGACATGAGTAAACCTGTTGCCTTCCGTGGCTGCAATAAGTGACAAAAAAGCAAATGTATATTAATGTGAACTTGGAACTGACCTCTTCCAGGATTTGGCGATTTTAAAATTAAAAGTGAGGTTAACTCTTTATTTTTGGACCTTGAGCATAATTGAAAGAAAACAATGAAATTTCCTGTTAAATTAATGCTTGTCTACTCTGATGAATAATTTCATACTTGTGATAAAACTTGCCTTAGTGTTTTATGGTATATTAGGAAAAAAATAGAAAGGGAGGTTTAGGACCCAAATGAATACTAAAATAGTCGGATACCATCCCATTCAACAGTTAACATTCTATAAAACAGATTCAGTAAACAAGATCGAAAATGGCTTCCTCAGTAATATGGTCCATTCAATTTGTACATTGTATATGACACAAAACACACAGGGGCAGTAGGTTACTGTCATGTTCAGTGTTTCCAGGTGGCTTTCACATTTTTTTTCATGTTTTGAGCACTCAATAACCTATCCATCAAGCGAATCAGCATGGAGGCTTATTTTGATCCAAACAATAGTGATTCCTGTATTCAAATAAAAAGCAATGCCCACTTTTATGTCAAAACTGACAGGTAGGTTTTGTTCTGTCCATTTTTGACTGCAAAAGTGAGTAACTTGAATCAAACTCTTTGTAAAATGTTTCTGTGTGTTGAACACTTGCAGCCATTTATAACCATTTAGAATCAATTTTATTATGACTTCCTCCCTTTTATCGTGTTTTGTGTCCATACAAACAGTTATTGCAACAAATGTAGGATTTCAAGTGCTATAATTGGGAGAGAGATCTTCCCCCACAAACGAACACATTGTAAAAAATAAAATTAAATGCACCCTGCTGTGTGGTACTTTTATGTGGGTGTGCCATTAACTTGATATACATGTATGAACAAAACATACTTTTTCCATCTCCTTACTGACTACATGAAAAGTTGCCTTTGGCAGACGTACATGTGCATGATGTAGCCACCTCTGCACTCACAGAGTTGTGTCTGTATCTGAACTTTGAAAATTTGAACCACAAAACTACTGAACCATTTGCTTGCACAGCCAGAATGCTACAGGTGTGTTGCCTCAAAGGTCTAGCTTCACAAAGCAAGATATTCAGACTTGTATTGTTGAAGAGAGGTTACAGTAGGTACGCAGTATCTACGTGTAGTGATTTAGAGGAACTGTTTCATTATGCTTTAAAAACGCCCCTCAGATTGCAAACACACTTTATCATTAAGGACAAAGCTTAAGAACTGTTCTACAAGGGCAAATTATTTGAACAGAGGTGAAGCTGTGATCAACCAGAATAATCAGCACAACTGTACGAGTTTGCCACCTTCAATTTTTCAAGAAAAGGAAAATGAATTGTTGCACACCTCATGGCTACATTGCTGCCGTCAATGACAACGGGTCTTAAGGGGCTAGCAGGATTCCTACTGGCAGGTTTAATGATGATTGCTTCCCTGGGGAGATCCGCTGTCCCCATGGCCTGCTCCTGTTTCTCTTGCTGCTGCTGCTGAAGCTGCTTCAAGGCAACCTCCTGCTGTGCCTTCAGTGCCTGCTCCTGCAGTTCAAACTGCTTCTGCAGCTGTTGCTGCTGCTCTAGCAGCTGCTGCTGCTGGAGCAGGTACTGCCGCTCCATCTCTTCCCGCTGCGTCTGCTGCAGCAGGATGGCCACCTGCTGCTGGCTGCTGGCCTCGGCCCGGTCCTGCTCCAGCTTGTCCTGCAGGTCAGCGATTTGCTTCTTGAGGCTCTCGATGACCCCAAGCTGCTCCTCGCTTTTTTGCCTCTCGACAGCCGGCAGGTTAGGTCGATTGAATTTCTTGAGCTGTGTGCCATGCTGTGCCAGTGATGAGCTTTCCTTCTTGGGCCTCTCTTGGAGGACTCCTTTGATGTAGAACTCTTCCAGTGTATCAGATTCCTCTGAGGAATTGGTAATGACAATCTCATTGTCACTTTCGCTGATGACAAGTATGCTGTCTGTCTCATCTTTAACATTGTCTTTGCCATCCATGACGAGGTCCTTCTCTTCTTCCTTGTTGTGTTTGTCAGGAAATGGTGATAATTCTTTCTTCTGCAAGAATTCATCTCTGGGTGGTTTTTTAATTCCCATATATAGTACCTCATCTGAGAATGCAGAAGAGGTTGGTGAGTGAACTGGAGGCATGAAGTATCGCTTTTGCCTGGATTCTGAGAAAAGCTCTTGGTGGACTGGCTCGGTAAAGCTTTGCTCCTGCAAACACTGCATCAGTGATGCCTGTGTGTTTTTCAACTTGTCTAGCTTTGTTGGTGGGTGGGATGCAGATTCTGGGATGTTTTGCTGGGTCCTCTCTCTGCGCAAGAGTGTGATCAGATCTGCACACTCCCAATTGCTGCCGACTTTTTCCAGCACCCTGTCAATCTCGGACTGAGTGAAATTGCCCCTATCTCTTACTCTCTGGATAGCCAGCTGCTGCGAGGAGCTCAAATTCAACGTTCCCAACCTGGCGCTGCCGTGGGCATACTTTCTGTAGAAGTTAGGTGAGGGAGTTGGGGAACTGCTGGCTTGGTCTGGGTGTGGCTGCGACTTGATTTTCTTCCGGTCAGGAGAAATTGAAGAGTGTTCTGCAACCGGGCTGAACAACTTACTCAGTTGTCCAGGAATGACGGCACTGTCTTTACTTTTCAACTTCAAGGGGTCACCTCCTAAGAGATGCTTGGCTGGAGTTTGAAGACAACCTGGAGACCTACTTCGCATCATCTGTGCTGGAGGTGTATCATTTGGACTGTGATCTTCTACTAGCATACTGTCTTCCTCCAGATCATTGTCGGATAAATCAGGTTCCTGGCAGTTTCTCCCTTGATACTTAGTTCTGAACTCAGTGATGCATTGGTTTGAACTGTCCTTATGTCTCTCATATTGAGCAGCTTTCTCTTCAATGACAGAGAGAACCAGAGACAAGTTCATCTCGTCATTGCTCCTGATGAGGAGTTGGCCCACTTTCAGGAAGTGTAAGACACAAGAGTAGCTCTCCTCCATTTCCATTTGTGAATCTTTTCACCAGAAATGAAAATCAAGAGTGTAATTGTTAGACTCTTCACAGTACATGTAATTAATACAATTTGAAACAGCACTTATTGGCATCTACACGTATCACAGAACAAGAAAACAATTTTCCAGTGGCATGAAGAACAACAGAAAGTAAATTTAGTCTTCACTCCAGAAGTCTCTTCGCTGAGTTGCTGTTAGGTGCTGGTCATGACATGCTGAAATGTTCAAAACCTTCAAGAACCAGGATTAATATGCATTTTCCCCTTCCCAGCCTTAATGTGACTTAAGCACTACACATGTAGTGCAGCACTATGCTCAGTACTTGGGTGAACACTTCCCGAGCTTACTATGGGGGACTTAAATCCTAGGACCCCCTTGCCCAAACATCTCAACCATCACCCAGCTTTCCACAGTCAGATTGCCTATTGTAGTCCTGTACTGTCATCAATAATGTTTTAGGCAAGATGCAGGGCCAATACCACAGAGCTGCTTAAGCAAAAAATTTGCTTAAGCGTGAAAAACCCTTGCTTGACAAATCAGGTTATCAGCCCAAACTCCATGTGATGTAAATTGTTTTGGAATGGTATTCACCTGTCTTTTGGTTAGCATGACAATCACATATTTTGAGCTGGCAACCTTTGTTTATTAAGCAATTTTTTTTCGCGCTTAAGCAAATTCTGTGCTTAAGCAGCTCTATGAAATTGGCCCTGGTGCACAGTGAGCTATGATACAACTTTGCAGTTTGCAAGCTTCTGCAGGAACAAATGCTTCATCTCGTGCAATATTATATCCCAGTCACGCATTAGAATGCCACTTCACTTTTCTGTGTTGGCCCACCAACAGTGGCTACAAAGATTTATTGAGAGTCACTCTAAAAACAGTTACTTCCATTACAGTATCCGTTATTGAAAGTTGGGAATTGGTGATGGGTTCACATACCTTTCAAATCAGTATGAATACCTTCTGGATAAGTAACATTCATTTTGTGTGGGGCGTCACAAAATATGGTAATGTATTCCTGTACCGAAGAGACAGAAATATCCACAAATAAGGTTTATCTTCATATTCAAATCTGAATACACAATCTTATCTTAAATACTTTTGCCTTGGTAAAAATGGATTTTGGATTGAACACTCGTAAATGACACACTAAGCTAGCCTGAAATTCTAGGGGCAATGGTACAAGTGCACATTTCATTACTGCCAGGATCAACATGGCTCCATTCAAATGATACTCGTAATATCACACAGCTCTTAAATCCAAGGGCATTTTGCTGCTGAACAGGCAACAGTATGCACCATTTCATCGCATATCTGACGAACCGATAAATATGAAATATGACCATTTTCGAGAAAAACATGTTTTCAGTTAAGCAGTTATTGCGTACTCGTTTTTGATATTAAATTCAACCCTCTTTTGATCTCTGTGTACAAAAGATACAAAATTGGTCTTTGAAATCATTTCCCAATTTGTATTTTTGGCTCTATGAGCAATACTTTGTTTGAATACTGCTGTCAAGCCTATACTTCAGTTTGTGAGATAAAAATCTGAAAATCACCAGAACAGTCGATTTGCCAGTTTGTCAGATATGTGACGAGTTGAAGGCATCGTTGTCAAGTAAAGCACTCTCATTTGAGCACAGAAGAATGCTCAACTGAGTTGCCGGTCTTGAGACTGGTCTCAGAATGGAGAAGTCCTTAGGCATTTGACAATGAACACATTTTGATTTTAACAGGCATTCATCATCATCAAGAGAATTTTCACAAGCTAACTTTGGTTTACAATCCCCGATCTACAAAAAGAAAATAAACCCAAAAATCTCAAGTAGCACCTTCAAAATGACTTACTTTTGCTTTCTGACAATCTGCCGCCTCTCCCCTGAGCGCCACCCATCGCACATGCGCAGCCTCGTCAAGCCGTGCGGCCTCCTGGTCTAGCTCCCACTGCATCTGGATGGTCACACGGAACCGGGACTGAAGACGCTCTGTCCACTCTAGTAGATTGGGCAGGGAGGTCCTGGACACCGTGAACTGGACTTTGGCTGCTCCTTGAGAGTGCTCCTCAAACTCTGTAATCATCCTGGTATTTCTGATATGCAGGTAAGAAAACATGGAACAGACTTCTGAATCAAGAGTTACCAAAGTTACGTGTATCAGTATCTATGAATGTGAAGCAGTTATTATATCGGTTGCCTTCAGTGCCTGTAGGACATGACAGATTGCTGCATTTGTACATGCACAGCCAGGAATCGTAACAATGGCAGCTTTGGAAATAGGAGAACTCAGCAACAGCTGTGGAAATAGGACAACTCGGCAACAAAAGTACTGCATTTAAAGGTAAAAGAAGGCAAAGATTTCCAAACATGACAAAGTGAACACATAAGGATCAACTTTAAGATGAGGCAGAGAGGGTAGTATTTGTGAGTTTATCAGTCTTATCAGAAGTAAGTCACAACTGTCGCCACTGTAAGTCGCCATTGAATCACAAGTCCAATGCAATGAATCAAAAGTCTGGTCACAACTGAATCAAAAGTTTGGTCACAAGTGAATCAAAAGTTTGGTCACAAGTGAATCAAAAGTTTGGTCACAAGTGAATCAAAAGTCTGGTCACAAGTGAATCAAAAGTCTGGTCACAAGTGCATCAAAAGGCTGGTCATAAGTGAATCACAAGTCTAGTTACAAGTGAATCACAGTTCCTGTCACAAGCGAATAGGTCCTGTAGTCCAAAGTGATTTGTTAAGAATTGGTGATGGACCAGGTACCGCATTTTGGGTCAAAGGTGGAATTCATGATCACCCGTCCTCACCTGGATCTGCCGCTACACTAGCACAAACCCCTAGAAAAGAAACAAAAAAAAGAAAAGAGATACTTTCAAATCTACTTTCTAATGCTGGGGAAAGAAATGGCAAACAAAGACAAACCCAGTTGAGCGCAGAGGAGGACACAGTACAGCACGTGTAGAACGCACCAATATCTGTGGCACTCTTGACCATAAACATGGGATCAAGTTGATAAACTCTACCTTTTTCAGTTTGTTCCTTTTACAGCTATGAGCTATGACTTTGTATGCTGTACACAACGCAATGTATCACACTACACAATATCTGTTGATATCATTTACAGTCTAGCCATATGGTGACCAAAGGGTATGTAAAAACAAGGAACATATATGTATGATTTCTTCATGATCGAGTCTAAAGTCTGAACGTACGTATACACATTAGTGTGTGTGAAAACTCTCAACTGATCACATGATTTGAATATTTACAATCTTGGCTTTCAGCTTTGCAGGGCACTGCTAACGACTGAGTCTGAAGGGGGACATGAAAAACTTGTGTTCAACAACAATTAACAATGTGAGAAGCATGGTTCACTTGTAACCAAGCAAATTGACATACTTGTACATTTACAGGTCTCCACAGATTGCAGTTTGACATTTGGAACAATTTTCATGACATCACCATCACCGGTCATTAGCAAATGGGGGGTGGGGGGATGGGAGGCGTGATTTTCCCCAAAAGGGTTGAAAAAAGGGTTTATGGAAATGTACTGAGAGAAGCATATTTTTGGGAGTTTTCATTTCTTCTTCCCATAGTATGAAAAATGCTCCAAAATTTAGCCTCACCCTCAGAATTAAGGGCCATAAAAGACTAGTAAGGCATAAAAATAATGCAGTACTAGTAGCTTATTGTTACACAAGTTTACACAGGGTTCTGTCTACACATACTTTCTTGCACTACTCGAATACTTTGGAAACAGGAACCAGACCAGTCTACAATGAATGGATCTCAGACTTTATTTCCCTTTAAAAAATCCTCCATAAATCTATCAAAAGGAGACTGACACACATGTATAAAAAGTAAATATTCAATCTGAGTGAAAAAATGTAAAAACTTAAGAAGGAAAAAATCTGTCAGGAGTGGGGCTCAAACACAGCATTACACATTACTGTGCCACTGCATTGTCACAATCATGACAGTGGCCTGGGGAAATTAAAATCTTTTTACCAATGATAATTATGCACTACTGAGTACTGTAAATACATCTAAGCCCCTCATAGAAGTTTGCAGTCTCATTAACTTACGGTTACTCTAAAAATAGCCACTTCATAAAAATGTCAATGGAATCATGATTTTTTCAAATTATCACGAAGAACTGACTGTAAACACTGAATTCACAACATTCGAATGGAAGCTTACTCAGTTACAAAAGAATCCCGAAACTGGAAAACAGTTGATAAGTAGCCTGGGCTATTTTCTGTTCACTATGTTCACTTTTTAAGTTAACGAGGCTGTACGCTAGTACGTACCAACATGACCATGATGACTTAGTACTCAGTAGTATACTACATGTACCTGTACATTGCTGATACATGTATGGAATTTTCCTTCCTTCATGTCCTTCATGACAACTCGTAGGCCTACAGCAAGTTGAGGGTAACTGAACTGAACACGGATTTCAAAATTCACACAACGTCGCGGCATGAGTCAGCCTGATTTCTCGAATCATGGAGGAATAAAACACCGTTTTATCCTCAATGACAGAATTGCCTATTGCTTCCGGGAACCGCCAATTTAGCGGTGACGTAGGGGGATCCACCAGCCCGAGGGCTAGGGTGCAATGCCCCAATTCAAGGAAAATTCTCCGCCATCCGGAGGCGCTTAAAAATCACCCCCCACAGATTCTTTCCAAAAGAGGGGTATGTTTGCGCCAAGAAATGGTGGGATTGTGCCAGTATGGCCTGGAATCATCTCTGTAGATTCAGGAGCACCCATCTGGAGGCAAAACAGACAAGAATGTGATTGAAAATTTGTCAGAAGAGCCCAAAAAGCTGAAGAATGTCCTTTGAAAAATGGCCGCTGAGCTATGAGAAGACTTGGGAACAATTGACTTTTTGGGGGGTGAGTTTGTTTTTAGCGGATAATTAAGAAAATCATTGGTTAACCTACTAAAAATTGAAAATCAAATGAAATCTGGAGGACCAAATAAAACATTGTTTTTTTGTTTGAGAGTCCTCAGGGACTTCAGTTGCCTGCCATGGGGCTCCAAACTTGGTTGATTTTACACTAATTTCAATGGAGCTTGAATTGGTTCAGTACACCCCTAGTCCGTAAAAAATTTCATGATTAGGCGCGGCACGTTCGTGCACGGACCTTCTGTTAATTCTAGCCTTCCGTCAAGGCCTTCGCGGCTGTGTTTATGTGTAACTGCAAAGCGACTGGACGGGAGACCAGGCGAGCAGCTGCGCGATTCGTGCATGGTCTCGAGTCCAGCCGCTTTGCAGTTACACTCAAACACAGCCGCGAAGGCCTTGGCGAAAGGCTATGTTTTCCATTATAAAAAAAATCAAGATGTCAAAATATTTCACTTCAAACATGTTCAGGTTGGTCTTGAAGCCTTGATTGCAATCTGCGTAATTCCCTCTAGGCTTGTTCAGCTTACAGAGTCGAACAAGCAGACAGGTTATGTTGCAGCAAAGTGCGTCAATAATGCTTCATATACCTATGGTAAAAGACTCTCAATATCAAAAATTTTTACTGCTAACTGTGCACTGTATAGCACAGCAAAGAACGATATCAAAAATTCGAATCCTTGGTTCGCCAGTCCCTGTATGCATTTGAAGCATGGAAGAAGGGAATGACTCAAAAGTTTTACTCATTATGAGCCTAGTATTTCGGTCATGAGGGTTACGTTTGGTTTGTTCACGTTTTGCATTGCGAAGGCCTACCACGATTCTTAACGGAGCTCTCACATAACATTTAGCAGCACCTAAAGCTATGCAATAACGAGACGTCTTCAAGTTTTTAGTGACATGCATTGAAACCCTGTAGACTGTCTTAACAATTATGTCACGTTTCCGCCCCCCCCGTTAAATCCCATGCGCTCGTTTACGTACTCAGCACTAGTCTCTTTTCATGCGCGAATTGGCACCACCACAGAAAAAACCCAAGGCTACTGTGTAAATGAAAATACGCCGGCTGATGCGTGAGGTCGCTCTTCGCCTTTTTCACTGTCTGGTCGAGTTCGGGCGGCATGTTCTTGACACAGGTTTCTAGTCTCGCGCTCGAACGGCGGGAACACGACTCAAGAACACTGTTCTCGGAACAGGATCACACACCACCTCCTCGTCAGGGTTTTACTAGGAACACACGGAAAAACTCGTCAGATTTAAATTTTTAACAGCAGCAAAAAGTAGAGAGATTGCTTCCAAAGCAATAGACAATGGGAAGTTTTGCAAAATTAACATTAATTATTTTCCGTAACACAGAAATGAATGTTCCTAATAAATATATAAAAAGGAATTCAGCCCGTCCAATTAACTCTCGAATAACGTAGGCTACATGGACGCCGCCATGTTGCATGTTGCTCGCCACTAACTACCAGCGATAATCGGTTCTTTGTTCCCGACGTTCGAGCGGCCGACCCAGGAACAACAAATCGAGCTGTTCGTGAAAATACGGGAACAAGCCTCCCGAACTCGGTCTATGAGACGTCTTTGGCCATATCTGTACATGGTATACATAATGTGTACTTGGCTGTTTTGCAGCTCTGGACACCTGGCGTGTTCAGTACATACCTCTACATTAAAGTGTGCAGTGTCCCAATTCAAGGGAAATCCGCTAGGCCGAGGCGCTTAAAAAGTACCCCTACAGGTTTTTTTTTGAAAAGAGGGGTCTGATTGGGCCAAGAAATTGTGGGATTGTGTAAGTATGGCCCAGGACCATCTCTGTAAATTCAGGGGCACCTGAGAATTTGTCAGAAGATCCCGAGAAAAAAAGGTGAGAGATGTCATTTGAAAAATGGCAGCTGAGAAGACCTGGGAACATTCACTTTTTGGGGGCGAGTTTGTATTGGGAGGGTAATTAAAAAATTCATTGGTTAACCTACTAAAAATTGAAAATCAAATGAAATCTGAAGGACCAAACAACACACTGTTTTTTTGTTTTAGAGGCTCAGCGATTTCAGTTGCCTGCCATGGGGCTCCAAACTTGGTTGATTTTACACCATTTTCAATGGAGCTTGAATTAGTTCAGAACTCTTTAACGCCTTTACGTGGCCTAGCTCAACTGGGGATGGAGTGGAAAACAACAAATAATGGACCGCCGCTGCAGCCAAGCTCGCTGATGGCAAGTGTACCAGAGGGCGCACTGAGTGAGCACGAGAAACAGGCAAGGTCCACAGTGACAGTGACAGTGACAAGTTTACATTTAAAAGACCAGTTTCCAATAGGCCAACTCAACTTTGTCTCCTTCACAGGCTTCGTCTCCAGACAGACAGACAGACAGACAGACAGACAGACAGACAGACAGACAGACAGACAGACAGACAGACAGACAGACAGACAGACAGACAGAC